ATCTTTGAAAGAAAACTGAAATATACATTCAAAAAAGTATGCTTTTCCTAAAAAATGTTTCTTAAAATTATTGTAGGTCTGACTCTGTTGGCTCACTTTGATTTCCTTCATTACTGAAAATTTACTTCATTAGAGGTGTGGTAACTGAGTGGTTAAAGTGTTCGCTCCTAACAACAAAGCCAGGGTTCGATTCCCCACATGGTACAATGTGTGAGGCCCATTTCTGGTGTCCCCCACCGTGTTGTTGCTGGAATATTGCTAAAACCAGTGTAAAACCTTATTCACTCACTCACTCACTCTGATATTTCATGGGTTAACTATGTAAAATACAGGTTCCTTGTCTGAACCTTTGGTATATAATTAATCAATGCTCTACTTCACCAAAAACTAGACATTTTGGTTTATGGATGTGCAAATTGCTTGAGGAAAATTAAAAATTAAATTTTAATGGAAACAAGATAAGTCTATATAAATATGCTTGATAGTATATATACACCAGCAGTGAATGCTGCCCAGTACTATCATACTAAAATATAAGTGCCTCTTTTGAATGAGATGTTGCTAATATTCTCAGTCACGAGTTTGTCTGGTCCTGACGTAATTGTTTACAGACTGACATAATGTAGCTGGAATATTGCTTAGTGCAGCATTTTATAACTGACATAACCTGATCATACATTATTGCTGTTAGTGTAATTCAAACCCATGATCTTAGATTCCTGCCACACCTAAGGGACATAACTCTACACAGACTATTATGGCATATTAGACTGCTGGATCTTTTGCACCTGTCTGATATGACATGTAAAACTATTTCTAATGCTATTCATGAAGATATGTGAACTGATCTTCAGCAGAATATGATGGTCACAAGAGGCGGCTAATAGGATCAATCACCCACTCAACCTCCCAATCAACCACTTAACCACTCATTCACTCAACCAATCAGTCAGCAAATCAATCATTCACTCACACACTAGTTTTGGGAATTGGTTGAAATCTCACAATTGATGATTGGTTCAATACCAACGACCAATCATCGAAAAAAATTGGTTAGCGTTATTTTTTAGATTTTCCTATTCAGGTTGTAGTTGCAGATAAATATAAAGAAAAAAAACATTTGGTTCTCTGTTGTTGTTTTTGTTTTATTTAGAAACTGCACAAATTACATTTGCAAATTTCACATCCAGTGTAAAATGATTCAGTTCCAGTGTAACATAAACTTCCCAGATTCTTCAAGAAATATTCAGTCATGACTTTTCAGAAAGTGTAGTGAGTTTTCTAAGAATTAAACACGGACAACGTCCTAAATATGTTCCATCATCAAGTATTTCAAACTCTATTACAGCGGTTCCCAAATCGTTTGTGTTCGATTATGAGAACATGTGATCGATTGCTTGGTCATTTGGCCACTGCGACCAATCTTCGATTATTTCAATTAATCGGAACACCACTATCACACACTCAACCATTCATCCTAGTCAATCAACATCTAAATCAGTCAACCAATCAATCATCTATGCCCATACTCAACCATTCAACCTATGCAACCAACCACTCAATCATCCACTCAACCATTCAACCTAATCAATCAATCAACCAATCACTGCACAACTCAACAATCACTCCAGATTCCAGTCTTTTCACAGCTGCTCTGACAGGCGGAACTTTGCACTGATCACCCTAGCTACAATAATTCTGATGCTTGCAGAACTTTATCCTCGTATTAAAAACTTACCCCATGACAGACAATAAAACTGTCATTGTTTCTCCCAGGGAGCTATTTATCGTGATGAATGGAGTTAAGATATGTATGCAGTATGCTGTACATGCAAACATATATGTTTGCAATCAAGTTTCAGATTTTTTGCCATGCTAAGTATTATCTTCAAGAAATCTTCTCCAACATTTAAAATGCCACTTCCTTGGCACACAGAGACTTTGTTACATTTTGTACCACTTGAGTTATAAGTTTGTGTGAATTATTCTTGTAAAAGTGAGTGAGTGAGTTGAGTTTAACACTGCTTGGAACAGCAGGAGAAAAGTGATGTGATGCATGGCTATCTATCTATCTATCTATCTATCTATCTATCTATCTATCTATCGATCAATCTATCTATCTATCTATCTATCTATCTGCACACACACACATATATATTTCTATATATATAATATTTCGTTATTTTGTCAATAGAGATCTATTATGTGTGTCAATAGCAGCTGTTTTATATAAGCAGCAGTTAGCATGGTTATCATCGTCAGTGTGTTTCTCTACTCCGTATATCAACCAGTTGCTGGTCATGAGAACCATCTAGCAAGCTGAAGATGAGATGAGTCAGTGTGTGGTCTGCTTGTCTTGACCTGAACGACATATATCAATACTCCGTATATCAACCATACAGCTAGAATATACTCTCTCCTCCCTCTCTCTCTCTCTCTCTCTCTCTCTCTCTCTCTCTTTCTCTCTCTCTCTCTCTCTCTCTCTCTCTCTCTCTCTCTCTCTCTCTCTCTCTCTCTCTCTCTCTCTCTCTCTCTCTCTCTCTCTCTCTCTCTCTCTCTCTCTCTCTCTCTCTCTCTCTCTCTCTCTCTCTCTCTCACTCACTCATTGATGATTTGGAATATTAAGAATTGCCGAACAACATCAGGTTTTTTCTGCACTGAACAGAAAATATCTAATTTCAATGAACTGAAAATGTGGTATTAAAAGGTTAACTCTGAAATGCACGAGATTGCTGGGATATGTCTCCTAAAGACGCTCCCAAGCATGTAAATTGTAGTTAAAAAAAACAACAATAAATAATTACAGTGTGAACATGGTGGCATATGTGAATATTTTAAATAATTCAAACACATCATGAGTACTTGTTTAAATTACATGTACACCCATCCCTCCATAGGGCAGCTGAAGGTCAACTGCCTGACTATGCCTAGACCATGTTGTATCAAAGTTTAGCGATATGTCAACGTTTCGTTAAATCTCCGTTAAGTAATGTGCCTTTATATTCAGCTGTATCAACTTTGAATGCTGAACATGATCCTTAATGGAGGTTAGTTGTACCATTTACTTACCACTAAGCCAAACATGCTGTATACTTTCAGCTAATATGTTGATAAACAGCAGTGCATCACAAAATAAGCTTCACAAGCATTTGATTTATTTACCAAATTGAATTTAATTATTATTTAACAAAATTTCAAATTGAGAGAACTACTAAAACTCACTGTGGCACTTGCAGATGTGCTGAAGGAGAAAGTGATTGTTTGCCAAAATAGAATGGTTGGAAAAGTATCAATTTTAATGCATTTTAATGTGTTTTTAAACCATAATTTCTATGGGAGTGTTGTTGGATATTATTTGTAAAGACACCAGAAAGTTTGATACTGTGTACTTTTAGCTAATCCTGTTAATTGAATATTCAGAATTGAAGAAATTATTACTGTTTAATGAACCTTTTGTTTAATTTTTTACACATCTGCCGTATTTTCAGGGGTGGTGGGGTAGCCTAATGGTTACATTGTCTGCTTGTTACGCTGAAGACCCGGGTTCAATTCCCCACATGGGTACAATGTGTGAAGCCCATTGATGGAATATTGCTAAAAGCAACATAAAACCACACTCACTCACTCTCTCTCTCTCTCTCTCTCTCTCTCTCTCTCTCTCTCTCTCTCTCTCTCTCTCTCTCTCTCTCTCTCTCTCTCTCTCTCTCTCTCTCTCTCTTTCTCTCTCTCTCACTCTCTCTCTCACTCTCTCGTATATTCTCTCTCTCTCTCTCTCAATCTTTCTCTTTCTCTCTCTCACTCATTTTCTCTCTCTCTCTCTTTTATGGTCAGTAAGCTAACAGACCAGAGACAAATAAAAGATTACATTTGCAAAAGAACTGTAAATTTCATCATATGAACAGAGAAAATGTTGTTAAAATAAAATATAATATTTAATGTTTGTGTCATCTTTGCTTTCTTATTGAGTGGGTTACATTGTCTGCTTGTTACACTGAGACCGGGTTCAATTCCCCACATGGGTCTAAAAGCAACATAAAACCACACTCACTCACTCACACACACACACTCTCTCTCTCTCTCTCTCTCTCTCTCTCTCTCTCTCTCTCTCTCTCTCTCTCTCTCTCTCTCTCTCTTCTCTCTTTCTCGGCTTCTCTCACTCTTTCTCTCTCCCTCCAGGGTTCAGTCCCTCATGGACACAATGTGTGAAGCCCATTTCTGTCCCTCTCTATTGCTCTCTCTCTCTCTCTCAGTCAGTCTCTCTCTCTCTCTCTCTTTCTCTCTCTCTCTCTCTCATCTCATCAATGATTTTATTTGATATGTCGTTGAAATAAAATATAATATTTAATGATTGTTTCATCTTTGCAGTTTCTTATTGAGTGGGAGCACTTGTCAGTATGACAGAAAAATAAATTTGTCTTGCCTTAACATATCACTATTTCACTCAACAAACAAAAATGTTTAACATTATTTGCCAGTCACTTACCTTATAACAACAGGGGACTCGTAAAGATTTGGGTTAGAATTGGTCTTCAGTAACCCTTGTTGTAAGAGGCGACTAAGAGGATAGGGTGGTCAGGCTAGCTGACTTGATTGACACATGTCATTGTATCCCAGTTGCATAGATCGATGCTCATGCTGTTGATCACTGGATTGTCTGGTCCAGACTTGACTGTTTACAGACTCCCACCATATAGCTGGAATGAGTGTGGCGTAAAACTAAACTCACTCACTATAACGACAGGGCAGGTTGATCTTTGTGAGGACTGTCAGTATTGCTAAACACCACACAACTAACAGCGCATGGTAAATACACCTAGACTTTAACCTGAGATAACCATTAGTGAGCACTTACTGTATATCAGCAGCAATACATTGTCATAATCATAACACAACACTCCAAAATCTCCTTAAAATCCTGAGATGATAGGAAGATTTCGACATAATTAGCCCTAACGGAACAGCTCGAAGTACATTTGTTAACACGTATATTTGTCAGCGAGTCTACACCCTGCCTGCGTGTACCTTGATAATCAGCTTGTGTCTACTTCCTACTGTGAGGGGGATCAACCTTCACCATGTGCTTGTGGTACAAGTCACGCAGATAAAGTCGACAGGCAGTACTCATCCCAGACACAATGTAGACCCTATACTTTATGGTCGACAGGCACAGGTTCTCCTGTTTAACGCAGGCAATCACATTCTGTGCAGCCTACGGTACATCTAAGTCCTGGTTGTGTGTTTGCCATGTGGTACTGTGGATGGAAACTTTAAACAACAGTTTTTCAAGGATACAGATTGTCAAGATTTCATTTTGTGTTCCAGTTCTTACAAGAAATCGTTTAAATGTCAGTTGACAGTTAATTGTGACAGGTGATTGTTGTCGTCGTAAGTCACCTGGACTTGAAACTTTCAAACAGCAGTATAAATTTCAACAGACTGGTTTAATGATCGTAATTCCCGAGGTGTTACCATCATGAACCTGGCCTGCTTGGTAGAGACAACTGATGACTGAGTGATTCAGTGTACATTCATTGGAGACACAAATGATCTTTATTGCTTCTGGCATTCCTACAACCAAGGAGGAGATTCTGTCCTATCGAGATCTGACCTGTGTTATAATGTCTGTGTTTGTGTCAAGAATATTGCACTTGTCCTGCTTGTATATCTCGACAATTTTCTCACGGGTTGTGGCGTAATCGAATCTGTGTCATATATAAATAGAATTCAATCATTATGTAATTGGTCATCAGTTTTACACTCATGTCATGGTTTTCATGACTCTGATGATTTCTATGTTTGAAATGTCAACTCTGAAAATCTAAAAGTATGTACAAAATCAGCATACAAGCACATAGTATGAGTTTTGGTATCATGGAAGACAAGTGTTCAACACACACAGGCTGTGTCTTATATAGGACTTATAAGTAGAACATAATAATCTGTATATGTAATGTATATGATCTTGTAACAATAACCATAGATTACTTTAAGTACAACTCACAATAACTTTTGTGTAAATGTTGAGCATTTTGTGGGTATTTGTTATAACCAGAATACATATATCTTCTGACTTCATAGCTATGTCAGTCAGTGAGAATTAAACTCACTCACGGCTATTTATAGAAAGTTTGACAACAGATCACACATACAGCTGAAATTGTAAGAGTGTGGGTTTACTTTGACTGAAGTCAGAATAATTGTTTGTCATGTCGTCAGACTGTGATTATATTTGAAGCTCTGTATGTATTAGGCTGACATTGATGTGTCTTTAAGAGCTACACTGTATCAAGCTATTTACTGACTGATAGTTCTTTCTGTATTTTGTCAAGTGGATCTGTCTGTTTCCTTGGTGACAACTGTTTTTCCGGATTGAGATCTTTGACAGTGCCAGTTTCGTGACTTTTGTGTTGAAGTGATCATGATTTCCTGGTGAAAATTATACATGTCTGTCTATCTCTTCTTGTTGAAGATGTTCGTGTTTTGTGAAGTGGAATAGAGTGTACGTGACTGAAACTACCTTGAATGTGGTATTTTGTATTTACTGTGCAATGGTTCAGGTACAAACAGCAGTTTTATACAGATATCGATATCGATAATACATTTATTGTGATTCATGAGAACTAAGTCTTTTGGAGCTATACAAACCAACACCTGTGAAGCCCATTATCCACAGCTGTCCGCAAGAAAGGTTCCTCGAAGTGACATTTATCAAATAATTATGGAAATTTGAAATTGTATGCACCCAATCTGTACCGTGTTATCATGCCTGCAGCTCCAACTCTGAAATGTCGATCGACTGGCAGAACTCGGATTCGAGATGACGGCATCCGTGTTACAACAAGGGACAAACATGGTTCACTGAAGGTGGCAGCACTGAGATCTGGTGGTCATGTGACTGATGAGGCTAGGGAACACGGAGCTGTTCGAAGAAGTGCCACAGATACTGTACATAGGTAAGTATACAGGTGTGTAGTTTGTTGTCAGGTGTTAACTAAGTTGTTGTCAAGTATTAACTTTTACACAGGTACGTGGTCGAGTCTGAAGTTTCTTGTCAGGTGTTAACTAATTTACACAGATAAGTATATAGGTGTGAAGTTTGTTGTCAGGTGTTAACTTTTACACAGGTAAGCAGACAGGTGTGAAGTTTGTTGTCAGGTATTAACTTTTACACAGATAAGTTGACAGGTGTGAAGTTTGTTGTCAGATGTTAACTTTTACACAGGTATGTAAATGAGTGTGAAGTTTCTTGTCAGGTGTTAACTAATTTACACAGATAAGTAGACAGATGTGAAGTTTGTTGTCAGGTGTTAACTTTTACACAGGTAAGCAGACAGGTGTGAAGTTTGTTGTCAGGTGCTAACTAATTTACACAGGTAAGTAGACAGGTGTGAAGTTTGTTGTCAGATGTTAACTTTTAAACAGGTATGTAAATGAGTGTGAAGTTTGTTGTCAAGCATTAACTTTTACACAGGTAAGTAGACAGGTGTGAAGTTTGTTGTCAAGGATTAACTTTTACACAGGTAAGTAAACAGGTGTGAAGTTTGTTGTCAGGTATTAACTTTTACACAGGTAAGTAGACAGGTGTGAAGTTTGTTGTCAATTATTAACTTTTACACAGGTACGTGGACGAGTGTAAGTTTGTTGTCAAGTATTAACTTTAACACAGGTACATGGACGAGTGTGAAATTTGTTGTCAAATATTAACTTTTACACAAGTACATGGACGAGTGTGACGTTTGTTATCAGGTGTTAATTAATTTACACAGGAACGTGGATATGTGTGTAAGTTTGTTGTCAGGTGTTAACTTTTACACAGGTGCGTGGACGAGTGTGAAGTTTGTTGTCAAGTATTAACTTTTACACAGGTACATGGACAAGTGTGACGTTTGTTATCAGGTGTTAACTAATTTACACAGGTATGTGGATGAGTGTGAAGTTTGTTATTAGGTGCTAACTAATTTGCATCCCATAACACGATTTAGCTAAATATTGCTAAATGTCAGTAGCTGGACAGGTAAGAGCAATACAAGCAGTGTTACCTTCTTCACATAGATTCGTTAGCTGGGATCTTATGGACAAATGTTTTTCAGGGTTAATTTTGACACAGGTTAATATACAGGTGTAAGGTTTGTTTTCAGGTGTTAACTTTTACAAAGGTAGCTGGACAGTTGTGAAGTTGTCACATGTTTGTATTCAGCTTTTAGTATTACACAGGTGCATGGACTGGTGTAAGCACACACTGCACTCAAAAGCTTCAGGATGAACAATTATTTATATATTGCCCATAGTGTTATCAACAAGGAATCTGGAAGTGGGAATCTGCCACTGAAATAGCTTGGTTGATTGGTTAGCTAGTTGGCTGGTTGGTTGTTTGGTTAGCTGGTTGGTTGGCTAGCTGGTTGGTTGCTTGCTTGCTTGTTTAACACCACACTCAGCAATATTCCAGCTATATGGTGGCAGTCTGTAAATAATCAAGCCTGGACCAGACCAGACAATCCAGTGATCAACAGCATGAGCATCAATCTATGCAACTGGGATACAATGAAATGACCAACCTCTTCAGCCTTCACTGATGATGTGTGACTGTATCAATTAATTGTACTCATTACATCCTGTTTAATTATCAAATCTTATGGACGATTCAGGAAATTATGATTTATTTCAGATCTCTAAAAATGACAGAAAGTAGCAAGGAGGAAAAGAATGGCGATGTGAAGCCTGAACGCAGTGATCCCCTGCCCGAGTCTTCCCTGAAACCTTACCAGACAGGGGTACTGGCTTTTCTAGCGGTAGTAGGGACTGCCATTATACTGAAAGACTTTGGGATCATTTGTCTTGATCTATGTCATACTAAATCTACACCACACAAATCTGGAAGTTTAGTCACGCCTGCTGAAAAGTGGCGGGAAGCTGATCAAGTGACACTTGATAAATATGATATCGATGTGTGCCATATTGACAGGGTGTTACGCTGATGAAATTACCGAGGAACGGTTTGACAAGGAATATCGGTTAAAAAAGCCTGTGCTATTAAAGTTCCGGAATGGCGCTAAAGACTGGACTGATCCTGAAAAATGGACTTTGAAGAGTTTAAAATCAACGTATGGACAGTGGATGCTGTATTCTGGTAGTTCCCTGGAAGTGGTAAGAAGAGGCGGCAACGGGTACTTAGGATCGTCGTTTGAAGAATATGTGGACGGAATGATGGCTGAAGGGCAAGATGATAAAAAGGAGCCTCCGTAAGTTTGACCTTATTTTGTTTAATTCTTTTATCACATAAAAATATAGGATGTAATTCCTAGCCAATGAGGATTGGTTGTTCAAAATGTCTCATCTTGTCAAGCACTTGCTTTCCTGGTCCCAACTCAAGTATTTATACACAGCTGTTATGTTTGGGTAAGACACCATTTTAGAAAATGAGTTTTGTTCCGTATACAGTGAGAAAATGTTTAAATTATTTAGATATGATGCTGTAATCTGAATCTGTGGGTTTTGTTTTCTTGCAATGGTTCATAAATTCTTTGATATTTTGTCCCAGTCCTTAGAGAATGTACTAAGAAAGTAGTCCAGTTCAGGTCTGCAGTGGTCAGCCAAGTCTGAATGTCTTGATCCTGAATTTAAGCAGTGACCCGTGAAGATCCGGGTTGGAATTGTCCTTCAGCAACCCATGTTTGTCGTAAGAGGGGACTAATGGGGTCAGGCTCCCTGACTGGGTTGACACATGTCATCAGTTCCCACTTGGGTAGATCGATGACATGCTGTTGATCACTGGATTGTTTGGTCCAGATCTGATTATTTACGGACCGCCGCCATACACCTGGAATATTGCTGAGTGCGGCTTAAAACTAAACTTGTTTTACAAATATTGTCAAAAATAGTTCTCTACAGTTTCTCCATGGTGTATTGCTTCTGCCAACACTGCCCTTCATAATGACACAGGCAAGTTCTTAATGATAAGGTTTAGGTCACAATGATATGGGGGGAGTCTTAGGACCTCAAGTCCATTGGGCGGTGGGGTAGCCTAGTGGTTAAAGTGTTCGTTTGTCACGCTGAAGACTAGGTTCAATTCCCCACATGGGTACAATGTGTGAAGTACGTTTCTGGTGTCCCCTGCCATGATATTGCTGGAGTATAGTTTTAGCACTATTCCAGCAATATCACGGCAGGGCACACCATAAAATGGGCTCCACACATTGTACCCATGTGGGGAATTAATTCTGGGCGCCACCACACCACCAACACACCACCTCCACACCACCTCCACACCTCCACACCTCCACACCTCCACACCACCACACCAACACACCAACACACCACCACACTTCCAAACCACCACACCTCCATACCACGTACACCACCACACCTCCAAACCACCACACCTCCACACCTCCACACCACCACCCACCACACCACCACACCTCCACACCACCACACACCACCACACCTCCAAACCTCCACACCTCCACACCACCACACCACACAACACCCCACACCCACACCACCACCACCTCCATACCCTCCACACCTCCACACTTCCACACCTCCACACCACCACACCTCCACACCACCACACTACCATAACACCACACCTCCACACCTCCACACCACCACACCTCCACACCACCACACCTCCACAACACCCCACTTCCACACCTCCACACCACCACACCACCACACCTCCACTACCACCACACCACCATACCTCCACACCACCCCACCTCCACACCACCACACCTCCACAACACCACACCTCCACACCACCTCACCTCCATAACACCACACCACCACAACACCCACCAGTCAGGTTGTCACAACAGTCACCAACACCAACATCTACCGCTACATGATTGTTTGTTTAACAACCTTTTCTCTACTCCATGACAGGGGTGGTGGGGTGGCCTAGTGGTTAAAAGCCTTCGCTTGTCATGCCAAAGACCCGGGTTCAATTCCCCTCATGGGTACAATGTGTGAAGCCCATTTCTGGTGTCCCCCGCCGTGATATTGCTGGAATATTGCTAAAAGCGGCATTAATCTAAACTCACTCACTCATTCACCAAATACTCCATGACAATGTCTGAAATGATGGTGATGAGTTGCTATGGGCAAATACACAACTTTCATGCTATTTATGACGAATTGTTGCTTTCGGGTATATATCTATTTGGCATTTCATCAGTTCAATTTAGCAGAGAACAGACAGTAATGATTATAACACTGACTCTTTCCACAAATCCTGAAACAGCTGTGAGAGATACATGCAGCCACTTGTCCATGAGAGCTGAACGTGTTTTGTAGGCAGTGTAAGGAACAATGGAAAGTGTTTTTCTGACATGTAATCATTTCATGACTGATGAGGTACTACTGTCTTGATGTGGCAAGGCTCATTTGTTTCTGTAAACAGAAAATATATTTGGAAAAGTATTGATTCTCAGTAAATATTCTGTGGCAACACCTGCTGGATATGACCGCCTCCGTGCTGTAGTGGTCAGAGCGTCCGCCGGAGAGTGGAAAGTTGCAGGTTCGATCCCCGACCGCGTCATACCAAAAGACGTTAAATTTGGTACTTGTTGGTCCCTGTCTGGCGCTTGGCATTAATGGGTACAACAAGGACTGGTCGGCTCGGAGTCAGTATAATGTGTCTGAGTGGGGTATTCATGCTTCACTGCGGGATGGTATTTCAGTAGGCCAGCACTATAAAACCAGCTTAAGTCTGGGCTAGTACAAGCACATACATATACACACGCATGCACGTCGTCATATGAGTGAAAAATTCTCAAGCACGACATAAAACCCAATTTCACCTCACCTCACCTGCTGGATATAACTTGCCATACCAATCTCCTATCTTCTCTTTCCCCTTCAGCTCATAAAACTAAACTCACTCACACACTGACACACTCACCCTTGCAAGAGGCAACTGACGGGATTGGGTGGTCAGGCTCGCTGACTTGGTTGACACATTTGATCGTATCCCAATTGCGTAGATCAATGCTCATGATGTTGATCACTGGATTGTCTGGTCCAGATTTGATTATTTACAGACCGATTTACATATTGCTGGAAATTTTGCAGCATTAAACAACAAACCAGCCAACCAACCATCATGCTGATTGATAGAGACATTCTGTATCATCCAGAACTTGGTTTAAGTCAGAAAGTCAGCAAATGCTGCTGTATAAATAAACTTAGGCTCAGTATTATTCGTTACACTGCTACACCGAGTCTTAACAAACTGGTAAACTGGTAAATTCTGTTGGTTCCCAGAAGTGAAATAGACAGACTGGCATGATTTCTCCATGACATAGTCATGTACCAGGTTCGAATCCCTGATTCTTGGATTGCCAGGAAGACTCCTCTGTTGATGTATTTCACAAAAATGGTAAAATCTAGGACCTGTAACACTTCATCCATCCTAAATTAAGCTTACACAGCGATGTGTCTGAAACTTTGTTCAAAACAGCATTAAACACCTCACATGCTGATTAGAAGCAGCATGTGCCCAATTAGCTAACCATTTTGCTGTGACTGCACCATGGAACAACAAACTCCCACACCCTATGTTCAATAAACTGTCCTTATCATGTTTATTGTTGAAGCAGTTCCTTGACAAGAAAACCTTTCAGCTTGTATCAACAATTATAAGTCGTATTCTGTTTGGTGATCGTTTATCGCATGGGTTTGATTTATCTTGCTGAGAGACAAATACTGGGAGGTATTCTGTTGCAGACTGCCCTGGTAGTGGGAGGCTTGCTTCTTGCTGATATCATGCTCAAGTTTTGTTAAGGATGTTCCTATAAATGCTTAGATTAACATCTTGTCTCTGAAATGAACATATTTTACAGAAAAGAGACTCTTCATAAATGATTAGGGGCTGTAGGGTAGTCTTGTGGTTAAAGCGTTGGCTCCTCATGCCGAAAACCCAGGTTCGATTCCCCAGATGGGTGCAGTATGTGAAGCCCCTTTCTGGTGTCCCCCACCGTGATATTGCTGGAAGCGGCGTAAAACCATACTCACTCATAAATGATTATCATAAAATATATAGAAATTGAGTCCAAAGACTTTCTTCATATTTACAAACTGAAACTGATGAAATCTGGACTGGACACATATTCTAGACTAGCATGAGCTGCATTGGTTATATTTGTGTCTGTTTGACAGACTAATGAATGCCTGATGCAGCATATAGCAATATCATTCAAATCAGATCTTAGCTCTTGCTACCATTAAACAGAGACCTGGAGGCACCCCATTACAGGTCCCTTCAGGTCGACCTGTCACGAACTTTGACCAGTCAATGAAGTAGTTCACAATTCGACATTAGCCAATCAGAAAGCTGCTTTCTCAAGACATAAGTCACTAGTCCCAAACCACCAACTTCCATTTAAGACTGTGCTTTGAAAATAATTGTTGACAAAGTTCTTGATTTAACATTTGAAAACTGAACAAAGGAACATCCTTTATGTTGAATTGATGGCGGAGATTGTATGGCAGTAATACCCATGGGCAATGGAAAGTCTCCACTGTTCAAATGTTTTCCCATTGAAGCACAAGATTGATGAAGATTTTGATCAAACGGGTCATACTGCCCATTACGAGGCTGCTTGATTAGAAAACACATTCTGCCTATCACCTTCTGATCTGGAAAGCTAGGCTCTGATTGGTCAGAGGAAAGGTCTGTCTGACATGGGAAGTCTCTGATCTTTGTTCAGCAGCAGCGAGACTTGAGATAAGAGCTTGATGATACTGCACCTAATAGCTGCTTCTTATCAAATACTATATTTTTATTTTTATAAATGTGAAAATGATTTTGTAGCAGAGTCTTTGTAATCTGACTGCTCGTCTGGCAGAGGTATCTTTTTCAGAAAATATATAGTACTGATTAGTAAGAACAATCATCTATCTAAATTTCTTCTTTTTCACCAAATGATTTATGTTCTGGAAATTGTAATATTTGTGATTATTATTTGATAAGCTTGATAACGAGGGCCAAGAAGTGCTCCTGTTTTGAGCCTTCCTTGCGCTTTCTTTGTGGGAAAAATGAAAGTGAAAATATTCTTGGATTTTATCAATAATTATGTCAATATGGAGCCATGCTTATAAGTGATTTTGTTTAAACATATATTTTTTAAAATGTAACTAATTTGGTTATGATCATGATAATCAAGATTTTAAATTGACACTTTGAGTTTTTTAATATATTTTTGTAATGTTAACATGAATAGATATTCAGATTTTCAAC